GGTGGGAGCATCGCCGTGGGTGGCATAAGAGCCGTCGGGGCAGATGTGGCGTGAGCCATCGGCGCCACGGCTAAGCGAGGCACGCACGAAGTCGAGCGCCTGCTCCAGGGCATGTGTGTCCTTGGAGCAGCTGTCGAGTATGTGCGCGCCCAGGCGCACACCCGGCAGCAGGCGTGGATCACGGTTGATGCGGTCCAGTGCAAAAAGCATGGCCTCCAGGCGCTGGATGCCTCGATGCTCATTGACAGGCCCACACTCCTCTGCTGGGCCACCCTTCTGGTGTACTGGGAACAGCCCACCCAGGACCAGGTCCCCCTCCAGGGTCAGCACCTTCTTGGCGGGGCCCTCAGCCACAGCGCCCCATAGCAGTAGTGCCAGGAGCCCAAGCAGTGATCCCATAGTCCCAAAGGGGATGGATGGGTCCAGCAGACCCGGGCCTCCAGGGGATGAGGGTAGAAGCAGCAAAGGCAAAGAAAGGAGGAAACAGGGACCAGGAAAGGACAGGCAGGAAGAAAGATAAGAAGGGGCCCAGCTCCTGCAGAGAAAGAGACAGACAAACAGGGAGAAGTGGAACCCAAGAGTGGCTACCCCTCTGACTCTGCCTTCCCCAATTCCCTTCCCTTGGGACTTTTCAAAGGAGCCAGGGAGAGGTAGTATCACAAACTAGGCTGGGAAGCTCCCGGACACCCCTTGGCCTGTTTCTCAGCTTTGCCCTGATCTGGGTCTGTAGATGGGCTCTGTGCCCATTGAATACTCAGCAGAGAGGGAGGGAGGCAGAGAGAAGTCAGGAGACCCCAGCCAACACCAATCCTGCTGTAAATCAAAGAGTGTCCAAGACCTTGCACAAACTTCCCAGGACCCTGAAGTCTATGCCTTTACAGCACGGGCCAGGTCAGAGTATAAACTTGGGGGTCTAGTCCCTATCCTGAGCCTTGCATTTCCAGAGATGGGCAATTGTGGCTGAAACCCACCAGGGAAGAGGGAAGGAAAGGCCTCCAAAGGGTGGTTTCCAACATCTAAAGAGACTGGAGCCCAGGTGAGCGCCCGGGGGTCCTAGGCCCTAGTTCTTAAAAATCCATCCCAGAGCCCCCTGACTGAGGAAGTAATAGAGACTCTAGGCCCTGGGAGTTTGACAGCAAGGTGGAGAGGCTGGCCCCAGGGAGGGACACTGAAGTGGCCACAGATCTTAAATCAATAGGGAAAGTAGATGCGAGCATACATGTGTCCAGGGTCAGGGGCAGTTCATCTGGTCAGAATCTCAAAACAGTGCTCAAGGTGAGACTTTTGGACACCTTAGCTCTGCGTAGAACACTGTTTGAGACTTCATGCCCCTGTTTTTCCTTCCGCTCAGATCCAAGCCGAGAAAGTCATCATCTCTAATCTCCCTATCTTCATCCGCTCCCCATCCTGTCCGCCCTGGCCCTGGCCCTCGGGGACTCCTCCTTCCCTCTTCCACTCTGCGCTTCATTTGTACCCCAGCTACCCACCCAGATGCCCACCCCACACAGGCTCTCACGTTCACACAGGCTTGGGAATGCTAGGAGAAGGAAACTGAGGCTGAAGAAGGACAGCCACTAGTTCAAGGACCCCATGTCCTGGTCAGAGAGACTGGGATTCTTCACTTTGTCCCTCCGCTCCTCAGGGTTAATCTCCCCCTGGTGCCAGGGCAGGGGGACTGGGATCCTGTGGGTACTCAGAAAGAAGCAGCTCAACCGGGCAACCAGGAGAGAGAGGCAAGCATGAAGACCAGGACAGATGGGGAAGGGACCCAGATGGGGGCTGAGGTCCAAACTGGTCAAGACCACAAGCCTTCCACAGGGGCAGCCAGGACCGAAATCCAGACAGGGACAATATCCTGAAGGGAGACAGAACCCCAGAGGGGGGCAGCCAGGGGGCCTGGGCCACGAAATCCGGGCAGGGAGTGATTGAGCCCAAGAGGCTGACACAAAGAGGCACAGACAGAAAGACAGACCAAAGGATGGAAGGAGAGGAAAAACGGGAGGAGCGTGATGCAGGGCGTGCGTTCTCTGGGGAAGAAAGGCGGGACGCCTGGGGCTGTCTTCCCGCTTCCCGGAGCTCCTGGCCAGCACTGTCTGGACGCCCCGGCCGGGAGCCCCAGAACTCGAGGGCCCGTGGGTCTCCGGGACATGGGGTCAGGATTGATAGGGTCGGCGGCGGCCGCGGCACCACGGGCTTACCCTACCTGGCGTGCCCGACTCCGGCGCGGAGAGAAGCGGAGCGGCGCCGCGGGCGCAGGGTTCCAGCTCTCGCTCGCTGGCTTGCTCCCTCGCTCAGCAGCTCCGCGCTCTCCGCCCGCCCGCTCGCCCGGCCGCTTTCAATCGCAGCCCGCCCCGCCCCTGGCCCGGGCCCGCCCCCAACCCCTCCTCCGTTCCTCCCCACTCCGGATCTACCGCTCCCAACCGGGCCTCCGCCTCCCTCGACTCCTGCACCGCTCTTCGCGGGGCTTCCGTCCCGGAGCTGTCCACCGCGTGGTGCTGAATCCTCGGGCGCTCCCGCTCTGCGCAGGAGCAGGTGCCTATCGGCCCCCTCCACCCGCAGTCAGACTGCAGCCCACAGAGCAGCGGGCACGGGACACGGGGCCAGGAAGGTCACTGAGCCCCAGGAGGTGCACACAGTGTTATCGGGTCCCATCTTTGAGAGCGGAGGGGCTAGCTTGAGGGTTGCAAGATGCCATTTGGAGATAGGTAAGGGGGCACGTGGGAGATAGGTAGAGAGCTTAGCCTGCTGCGCCAAGTCTGTCCCCGTCCTCACATCCATTCTCTTAATCCACAGAATGCAGCTCAGTCCACATGCCAGGCTTGGGGTAGGGGCATGTATCTTTGGCCCCATGTGAGAGCTGGGGCCTGAGTCACTAGGAGGAAGAGATGGGGGGGTGGTCAGAGGAGGACGGGGCCTCCTCTTCCTGCAGACGACCTTTAAAGCTGCTACGCACCTCCCCCCCACACACACACTCTGCCCTGACCTCTTCCTCCACCAACCTCACTAATCCCCACCCTCACGTACAAAAGGCATTTATGGCAAAGAGATATCAACCTGGGGTGTATGTGGGGGGGGGTGCTGCAGGGCCAGGGACTAGGGTCAACCCTAAAGGCACATGCTGGGGCTGGCGGGGGGGGCGGTGAAGAAGAGGCTCCTGAAACTGGCTGCTGCGTAGGAGGGAATGGGAGCTGGAGCCCAAGCAGAGGGAGGACAGCTCTGAGAAGATGCTCTTGACTCTTCTTCCCTCCTGCAGCAGAATGGAGGATGCCCCTGGGTAGAAGGTGGTGGATAAACTGCAGCATCCAAATGTGCTGAAGGGTTTGGAGAGGGGGCCTGCACCCAGGTTTAGCCTCAGAGCCTGCACACACACCAGGTGCTAAGGCGCACAGCATCCCTACAACATGCTCCCCCGGCACTGCCCTTTCTTCCACAGGTGTCAGTACAAAGCTAGCTCAGACACATGCTAATGAGCACATGCCAAGCCCAGGTCCCTCTGGCACATACACCTACATGTGCGTGTCGCAGTTAAGGGGGAGGGGTGTCACCAAGGAAGGACAGGCTTTTTCTCTGGACACAGAAACTCAATGCCCCACTGTGCTGGGAAAAGCACAGCTGTGAAACAAACACATCAAACCCAAACAAATCCAAACTCCACTGCTAATGGGAGGTGAGGTGACAGCAGGACGAGGGTTCAGAGTTGTCAGACAAGGCTGGAGAGACAGATACACTGTCTTCCAGCTCTGGCTAGTTCAAAGCAACTGCTGCCTGGGGCAGGTGAGTGATGAGCTGGGCCCTTGGAGCAGAAGGGTTGATAGCAGCAGGGTGCTGAGGTGAGAGGAGCCGCATAGCAATCCCGGCCCACTCACTAAGATAGCCTCACAAAACACCCAGGGCTTTAAACACAGCACCAGTCCCAGAGGCCCATTACGCGGCCCACAGCAAGTGGGCTACATAGTCCTGTGTAGCGCGCGGAACTGCAGTTATGCACCCAGCTATGCAGCCACCACTCCTAGCGGTGCACACAAAGACAGCCACCCAGCCTTACAGAGCTGCACATATGGACATGGCCACACACAGAGACATACGTGCAACCTCACACACAGCTGCAGCAGTAACACATAGCTTTGCATGCAGACACACAACTGTATTCATGGACACAAAGTCACATACATAAAGCCATACATATGGACGTGTCTACACACAGCTAAACTCACAGACACAGCTGAACTGACCTATAGCTTTACATGTGGACACACAGAAAAGTACACAGCTTTACACATGAACACACAATACAGCTGTACACAGACACACAGCTACACACAGATAGCTGTATATGGACAAAGCCCCCAGAGTGATGCTCCTAGCAAGCCAGTCTCACACCCCTTTAGTACCGCCACATACAGTTAACAGCATCATGTGCACATAACCATGTAGCCATCTGCACAAATACAGCCGTACCCAGCCCCAACCATAACCTACTGCCTGCTTGGGCCCAGCTTGCCACCATGAGCAGACGCATCCATGGTTACACACACGAAGCCAAAGGTATGTGTGCATGTATGTGCGTGTACACACACAGGTACACAGACAAGGGCAGGCAAGCAGGGACCACCTCACCTGCTGAGCAGATACCAGCATAAGCCCAGCCACACTCAAGCCACAGACACAAAGGCATCCCTTGGAAGCAAAGGCAGGCTGTGAGCTCCCCACTCCTGAGCCCTGAAGGGCACCCCATGCTGGGCTCACTCTCCCCTTGACCTGCTCTGCCTGTTGCCCAGCAGCCTGGGGCAGCCTCTGGGGCTGCTGCAATGGACGAGCAGGCGTCACCTGGGGCCACAAAGCCGGGAGTGGAGGGCCTTCAATACCACTTTCCTCCTCTCACCCCAGAGTACCTTGCCATACTTCCTCCTTCCCTCAGGCTGGGGGTACTCCTGCCCACTCCCGGCCTATCTGCACAGGGCTCCTTGAGGTGAAACACACACACAAATGCACAGCCCAAATCCAGGTGAAACGAGAAAATCATTTGCTTTATTCTGAGTCCTGGAAGCTCCAATGTGAATCTGAAAAAACATGTCAGAGGGGCGAAAGCCCCGGGGTCTGGGTGCAGAATACAGTCCCTGGCTCCTTTGGCCCTGGGAGCCAAGAGGGCAGTAAGAAGGCTTAGCTAGGGCCCGGGGGCAGTGGAAATCAGGTCCCCCCGAGACCCTTGGCCCCAGCCTGGGCCTGAGAGGTGAAGGAGGAAGAGGACTGGAGAGTCTGCTCAGTTCCTTGGCAAATGCACCCCAGGAGGGTGCAGGCCTAGGGCTACTCCTCACCCTTCTCCGGAGTAATAGGTTCCCGGGGCCACTTGGAAGCCCCGAGGGGCTCAGCCTCAGGGCTCAGCCTTGGCTCCCCCAGGGGCCCCTCGCCTTCCAGGTCCAGCTCCTCGAAGGATGAGCCGCTGGCGCCTGACTCGCCATAGCTGTGCTCACTGCGGGTGTCGCCGTCGTCCCAGCCACGGCTGCTCACCCCAGGGGACAGTGTGGCAGCCGAAGTCTCCCGGCTGCCAGGACCCACGTCCAGGCTCACAGAACTCGTGTCACTCATCGTATCAGCTCCTGGGCCAGGAAGAGGGAACACATGTTAGCCAGGACCCCCATGCCCCCTTCCAGGGAGAGGGCGGACACGCAGCCACTTGCTCAGGAACCAGCGTGCACAGTGTGCTCACGAATAATGGAGTGGGCCCTAGCTCAGGGGGCCCATTCTAGCTGCCCTCTGCCCTGACCAGAGCTGCGTGCACAGGGCAAAGGGAGAGGGAGGGAGGGAGGGCAGCCTGCTGTGCACTCCTCTCCCTCCCCGAGTTAGCTTCACAGCTCCCTGCACTCCCACAAAGCCTGCTGCTCCCCACCCCCCAACAGTCCATTAAGGACCACTCAGCCCTGAGGTGAGGAGCTGAGGGTAGAACAAAGAGATTCAAGTAATGTCCCCTCCTCCACACCTCATTTCAGGCTTGGAGAGAGGTTTGTCCAAGGCCAGCTATAGACAGTGCCCATAAGGCATGAGGACAGGAGAATGGACCAGGAGGCCTACTCTCTTGTCCCCTCCCCCATGTGGGGCTCCCCAAGGAACAGCCATATCCAGGAAGGCAGCTGGCCTCAGCCTCTGGCCCCCACTGAGCCCTGATTTGAGGAGGCAGCTAGGGCAGGGAGAAGTGGGATGGAGAAGTCTGGAGAAACCAGTTGCAAGGAAGGAGGGTACTAGGATAAAGCATTTTAAGGGCTTTCTTCCCCTATGCCTGGGTCACCCCAGAGGAGCCCTTAATTATCCCCAACCATTACTGGTGGTTCCTGAGCCACAAAGCAGCAGAAGGGGACCATGAGAGCACTCTGCTGGCAGCTGGAAAGCCCTGAGACAGGGCTGAGGGTCCAGATCCCTCCCAGGCTGTTCCTCCCACCCTAACACGTCCTCCAGGCAAGTAGACACTTCATTTGCCCTGTTCAGGAGCAATCCCTCAATTCATCTCCCCAGATCAGAGGCACTGACAACAGTTGGGGGGGGGGGGGGGGCAGGGAGGGACAAAGAGCTCAGGCCCACTGTGTAGGAATCCAGATTGAGAGAAGGCTGATATGCCTCCCTTCTGTGTGAGAGGGAGAGGGGCAGCTGTCAAACATCAGAGGTGAGGGATGGGCCAACTAGCCCAGATCCTGTCTCCATGGTGATGCAGCCCTGAGCCAGGAGTAGCTGGGGACTGCTTGGCATTTGGACTTGGCCTGGAACTTTCACTGCACCTCAGATGGGGACTAAAATAAGTGTGGGGGGGATCTGGGGTCTGCTCCTCCAGTTCCCTTGGCCCCGAGAAGATGCCCCTTGGATCTACTGGCAGAGGTGAGGTAGGCTCTGGAAGTGCCAGCCTACTGGCCCAGGGCCCTCTTCTTGGTGGGGCCCCACTCATGGCTCCCAGAATAGAGGCAGCCAAGAGTGAGCCTGAACTTTACCCTGAGTTATGGGTGGTTCCTTCTGACTCTGGGGCAGGACTCCAGCCCCTTATTCACTCCTTAAATAGGGATAATCAGTGCCCCAGGGGCTGCAGGCCTGAAAGGAGCAAATGAAATGGGGCTCCAGGCCCCATTAAACTGTCATGTTCCACCAGCCCACCTACCCAATGGCTCTCTTGGGACTTGGGTATGGGAACCTGCCTGCTTGCCAGGAGGCTGACTCCTCCCTCTCCCAGCTCCTAGGCTAGGAATGATCAGAGGATGGAGCCCAGGGATGCCCCTTCAGGCTGGCACCCAGTATGCTAATATGAGGCCAGCCCCTGTGGGGACATGTGGACACTTCTGGCAAATGAGTCCAAGGCAGGGAAATGGTATCCCTCCAGCCCCACCAAGGTCTGCACCAGAGGAAGTTCCAGAGTCTTGGGCATGTGTCCCAGGGCAGAAAAGGCCAGGCAAGGAAGGGCAGCGCCTAAGTCTCCAGGGCTGCTGGGGCAGAGAATGAAGCTGCCACCTTCACCCCAGTCTCTCCCTCCTCCACTGCCCACAGCCAGTGCAAGGAGATCAAATATTCATTGCCTCTCTGGAGCTAAATAATACATCAATGTAATAACAGGCATAAGGCAGCTAATCACCCCCTTTCACCTCCTAGCCCAAGTGGGGGACCTAGTGGGGAGGCAGTCAGGGGCAGGCCAAGCCCTGGGCAGCCAGGCGCCCAGCACACACTGCCGTGCAAAATGGCATGCACCTGGCAGGCACACTCAGAGTCCTTCCTGGGTGTCAGGGCAGACCCTGTCAGAGGTGGGCAGATCCCTAACCCCCACCGCCCCCCAGGGAGTGGGCGGGCAGGCTAGTGGGGAAGACAGGCCAAGGCGCTGGGGGCGTGGGAGGCCCGCTGCAGCCAGCTGTAGCGGGTGCCAAGCAGTCCTTCAACACCCCTGGCAGGCGGTGTTTGGGAGAGAAGCTGGGTGGGTGGGCCAAGGACTGGGGTGTAGGCAGCAGAGGGAGGTCAAAGGAAGGTCAAGACACTCTCCCTTCCTGCCCTGGAGACTGCGTGGGCTTGCTGACCTTGTGCCATGTCTTGTGCTCACCGTAGGAATGTCTGCCGGGCATTACCAGGCGGGTGGGAACAGTGCCCCATGGAGGTAATTAAACAGCAGATGAAGTTAACTGTGTTGGACACGGCCTCTAGGGAGTAGAGACTGCCTCTCAGTACCCCTACCCCCCACCACAACATACGCCTCTCTAGGGTGACCTTGGCTATTGGAGATTGGTTGGACAGAGGAAGTCTCCCAAAGAAGGAGGGACTGCAGCTCTCCTCCCAGCTGTCCACTGGGGGGAGTGGATCACTCCCACAGGTCATAGACCGCCACCATCACACAAGGCTCCAGCAGCAGGCCCCCTTGCTCCTGGGGACAGCCCAGGGTCATAAGAGGTGATGGCAGGGAGGTGGATTGAGAGCAGGCAAATTACCAGCTGGCCTGGATCTGGAGGATGAAGGCTGGCTGGGGTGGAAGGGGCAGGGCACTGACCTCCTGGCCCCCCCCGCATGCTCTCTGGTTGTTCTTCAGCAGGGAGAAAGCAGCTGCCTCTGGGTAGGGCTCTGTCCTGGGAACACCCTGTTCTCCTCTTTACCTTCCAGGTCCAGTGCAATCTTACTTCCTGATGAGCCCCACCCAAGCGATGCCTCTCTTGAGCAGCCCCCCCGCCATGAGCATCTGTTTCCAAGGGCACTCCCCGTTGCATCTGGAGGGAATTCAGAAAGGGTCTTTGTAACCGTGTCTTTATCTTTGCCAGGGATAACATATGTGAACCCAATCTGCATGGATCCACGTATCTAAAAACAGGCAATTCTCATGTGGGTCCTGGGGTAGGCAGGTCTCCTTCCTCCACCTCTGCCAATCTTAGCCTGGATACCCACAGTGCCAGCCCAGCCAGAGAGCAGCCTCCTCCACCATGCCCCCCATGTCCAGGGATAGGCTCCACACAGGCCCCCACCCTCCATACCTGTGCCATCCATCTGGGTGTCACTGGCCTCCGCAGGCCCCCGGCTTTTCCGCTCTGTCTCCTTCACCTCAGGCACATAGAAGTCTCCCTGCCGTGCCAGCGGGCACATGAAATAGATCTGGTCTTGCTGGTAGATCTCCAGCCGAGGGTGGGCACACAGCTTCCGCTCCTTGTCAGAAAGTGGCAGAAGGTGGAATGAGCCCTACAGGGCTTCTGACCCACTTGTCCCTAAGAGGCTCTAGGAACTATTATCTATTATTCATTCCCTCCCAGAGGACTGGCTCCACCTGTTGCCTCAATCTCCCCCAAGTACCAAACCCTTGCTGAGGGAAGCACACATAGAGCACCCTAAGGGCAGGGCCCCATACTCCAGGAGGCAGTAATTTAAGGACCCACCAGTCCTTCAGACAACACCCCAGGACAGGTGATAGAATCCAGGGGGCGCCTGAGTGGCTCGGTTGAGTGACTGCCTTCGGCTCAGGTCATGATCTCAGAGTCCTGGGATTGAGTCCCACATCGGGCTCCTGGCTCGGCAGGGAGCCTGCTTCTCCCTCTGACCCTCTCCCCTCTCATGCTGTTTCTCTCTCTCTCTCAAATAAATAAATAAAATCTTAAAAAAAAAAAAAAGAATCCAGGGGACTGGCACTGCCCCTGGCACCAGTAAACCAACCTATCCATATGTCTGCAACCAAAAGGCTGTTCCAAAAAGCACTAGTCTCAAGGAGCCATGATGCTTAGCACCTGACTACCCCAGGGACAGGGACCCCATGGACTATGGCCCCAGGCACCCAAAGCCAAGCCAAGCCAAGCCAAATTCTGACCTGCTAGACTTCCCATCTCAGGATCCCCTGGCTGTGACTTCCTTCCACCCTGGACAATACTGACTGACCCCAAGATCTCAGGGAAGGCCAAGGCCCCTGACCCTTAGGCCTCCAGCCCCTGCCCTTGCAGACATGTTACTGACAAACCCTAGACAGGGGCTCCAGGCCAGCAAAACCGCTCTTCCACTCCCATTCCCTCCTAGTTCAGGTCTATGCCAACCTTCAGGACTATCAGATGTGGTTGGTTCCAACCTCATTTAGTACCTGCGCACTGTTTCGGCCAAGGGAGAAGAGGCAGACCCTAGGCTAGAGGGGTAGGCAGGACAAGTAGAACTAGCACTGGACATTATCCTGACTCCCCAGTGGGCCGAAGTACCAGTTTATAGGGCCCCAAGTTCTGAGACAGGCACTCCCCTCTGCCTGGACCCAGAGCCCAAAGCTCCCCTCCCCCAGTGTGTGTGGAATGGTGCACAGATGCATGCCAGAGCTGCATCAAGCCAAGCAAGAACAATCAGAACAGGGGTCAAGAGCATATTGCTCCCCAGCCTGCCCCCCTTTCCTGCAATGGAGCGCAATTACCTACTAAGATGACTGTGAGGCCCCTGCCCTGTCACTGCTCACCCGCCAACCTTCACAACACGACTATTTATAGCACCCGCCCGGCTCTCACCACGAGCTCTGAAATGAGCCTTCCACTTAGCAGTAATGAAAGACTTATCACCTGGTAGGGAGAAGCCACTCTAGGACGCCACTTGTCTGCCTGCCTGGCCAACATTAGGATTGAGGAACCCCTTCCAATTAAAGCAGTGAAAAGGAGTAAAAAATGAACCCCCCCCCCCAGAAAGACAAGAAGAAAGGTGAGCCTGGAAGTTTTATGAGCCAAGGTGTTCAGCAGCCACTGGGGGACAGGGTTTGTCTAGGAGCCCATAGGGGAGGTGGACGGCCTGGCCAAAGTCCAGCTGCAGCTCAGCTAGCCTGACTGCATGGGTAACCCAAGCAAGACCCTGCACCCTAAGGCTTCATGTGCTCAAACACAGAGAGGACACCCCACCCCTGACACCCCAGGGTCAGTGAAGGAAAGTCATTATTTTTAATAGCCTGAGTCCAGGATTTTTCTGCCAACCTGGGTGTTCTTTGTGCTACCTCATGAGTCCACATGCCCAGTCCCTCCCATCTCTGCACACACTGACGGCTGCCTCTGCTTCTCCAGCTGCCCACACACTCACCCAGCCCTGGTCCTCAGGAACAAGAACACGGTGTCAGGAAACAGGAGCTGCCAGGCTCTGGGGCTACTCTACGGCCAGCACTTGGGAGCGAGCATCTGCCAAACCTGAGCCCCATTCAGTGAACTGAGCCATGTCACCAAGCCCAGGGTCAGGGGGCTCCCTGAAGAAGATCCAGGTCCTTCCCTGGTAGCTAGAGGGAAGAAAAAGGCCCCTAAACCTAATCAGGGCATGGTTTTCACCAACACATCCATGCTCTCTCTGGGCATTCAAAAGGTCCAGAGGAAATCTGTTAAGTGGTCATCAACCTGGTGGCCCATCTCTCAAGGGCTATAGACATTTGGCTTTGGGGGATGCTCCCAGGAACCAGAACCTATGACCACCAAGGAATTCCAGGGACAGTGGAACCCTACCCCAACCCTTGTCAACACTCAAGCAACCTGCCTGAAGCTTCCCTTCTGGAAGTAACAGGGATGATAAGAGGGAGTAGTCCTCTTTTCACTCTCTGCTCTAGGCTGGGCATCAGGGTGGGTAGTACCAGGCAGCCACCCTTACCACCTGCTCTGCCAGCCCCCTCATTGGCAGGCGGGAGGCAGCTCTGCGGCTGCTCTGCGCATCTGCCTCCTCCGGAGAGCCCGGCTCTGAAGTTGCCTGGCTGTGGACAGCCCTGTTGCCATGGAAACTGCATCCTCCATCCTTGCCATCGCCTTCATCTCAAAGCCATCGGGGAGAATAGAGGAACGGGGAGACAGAAGAGAGAGAGAAAACTGGCCTGGCTACACAGCCCTTCCTTCCCTGCCTAGCTCTCCCTCCTTGCAGCATCCCACACAGGGAGTGCCAGCCGCCCAAGCCTGCCCCCAGGCCCCTGGAGGAACAGCATCCCACCCAAGCCCAGCCTGGTCCTACCCCTACCACCTGCGGGCCCCTGGCTCTCCCCAGTGGAGGGAGGCATGGAGCTAATTAAAAATCTCATTGACAGCTTAGCCTCAAATCATTTTAACACATGCCAGATCCTGTCAAAATTCAGACTCGGGGCAAAAAAGAGGAACAGGAAGAAGGCAAAGGTGGAAACTTCCAACTCAAGCTGATAGGCAAGAGAGGGGTTTATAGTTGTCCCCGGGGCCTCTCAAGACCCCCTCCCTGTTCTGCCCCCAGAGCAATAATGAGCCCAATGGGGACTGGGGCGGGGGAGGAGGGACAGGACTAGCCATAAACCCTGGCCCTAAATGATCAGGCAGAGCACAAGACCTTTCCCTCCCAGCCAGGTACAGACACTGAGGGAAGAGAGGGTAACCATGGGCCAGCTCTCAGGTCCTCGCTACACAGCAGGAGCTGTGGCCTGGGCCGCATGTCGGTGAGCTGATAAATATTGGAAAATCATTGGAGGAAAGCAACACCAGCTGCCTCTCCCTCAGCTAGCCCCAGGGAGCCCTGGGCAGAACAGACTGCCAAGGGCCAAGGACACCAAGTCAATGCCACACTGGGCTGGTACTGCTGGGAAAGGGGGCCTGAATGGGCCTGGCATCCTTCCAGCCCTGGGCACACCCCCTCCCAGAGCCCAGACAGCCAGAGGCTCCAGGAAGCATCACCAGGACAGGGGAGCCTGCTCTGGCCACTGAAGCTACTGGCCATCTGATGAAGCCACAACCTAGAGCAACTCACTCCCACACAGAATCAAGGGGACCACAAGGTCTCTCTCCAAGGAAGGAGAAATGCAGACATCCAAAATCCTCCCCACCTAATAGGAAGAAGTCACCATGCTAAGGTGCCACCAGGAACTGCTAGAAACTGGATTCAGGAGTTCTAGTCCCTCAAAGACATCTCCAAGGCTTGCTTTCCACCGCAGAAACAAGAGGGGGACTTGGAACACCACCCACAATGCAGGGATTTCCAGGGGACCTCAGTCAGCAGCACTTCCCCCAATACCCCTACTGCGCTGACATGGGCTCCCCCCTGCCCCACCAGGAATGCTGGCACACCAGGGAAGGAGCGGTATACACAGACTGCCATGGGGCCACTGCCTCAGCTACCTTGGGAACACACCACACATTCTCTTCTCACCTCAGGCTGAGCTCATTCCTGGGTGAGGGGCACAAATTTGGCCCACACAGTTCAGGACTCCTACAGAGGCTTAGATGGCCAAGGTTTCCCCACAGCACCCACAGTGCTTCCCCGGGGAGTTCATACTGCATCAGGGGAAGGGAGGAGGGGGGAGAGAGAAGACCTGAACTACTCCCCTTTGGGCACCAACCAACCCATACCCTGGCTTTGGCTAGGGGTGGGGAAGCGTTGTGGGGCAGAAAAGGTCAGGTCCAGGTGGAGACTGAGGGTGGATCCTACTCCCAGGCTCCTCAGAGGCTGGGTCTGCTCGGTGCTAGGTGGCCTCAAATCCCCAAAAGGATGAGGCAATGGGTGCAGGCCAAGGGTTGGGTCGCACATCCCCCACCTCCACTTGAGCCCCAGAAAAAGATGAGTTCTGCTCTGTTGTCTCTACCCAATCACGGCCCTGTAACCTCCTGCCTCACTGGCGTGAGAGGCCCTGGCCTCCCTGTTCACCCTGGGTTACCCAGTCCTGCCCATCCCTCCACGCCAGGCTGGACAGCTGGGCAGCCACACAGCAAGCAAACAGCTGTTGCATCCCACCCGAGGTGGCGGCGTCTCCTCACTGGGTGAAGTGAGGCGTGCTCATTTTTAATTACACAGACACCAACATGCACCCGCCTGCACACAGCACTCCCTGCAAGTGGGGGCTCAGACCCTGGAGGCCCTTTAGGCAACTGGTCTGCGTCGCACGTGCAAAGTGATGGGGGAGGGCGCCAGCAGGCACTGCTGCAGCTAGAATGTGGCACACTGTTATTATTCTGCCCAGGAACTTCCGTCAACTTCCCTCTCCCTGGCTGCCTCTCATCCCCACTGGGCCTCCCAACAGCCTCTGGCCCAGAACCTAAACCTGTCTGTGGGGCGGGAGGTGACAGCAGGAGACAGCTCTGGGGGCCTTGCCATGCCAGCAGGGAGAGCCTGCGAGGGCTGGTGAGCACCCTCTGCCTTGTAGCAGTAGGGGCCAAAGCTATGAAAATGATGGGCAAAGGAAACAAGAAGAGAGATGGGGCTGCCTCGGAGGGAAG